TACAAGACTGAGTAGCCTCGATGATTATTTATGTTGAATTCCCATCTTTGGAAAATTTGGAGAACAGAAAGTACTTTAAAGATTTATGGGGGCGCCTGGGTGGCTCAGTGGGTTAAAGCCTCTGCCTTCGGCTGAGGTCATGATCTCGGGGTCCTGGGATCGAGCCCTGCATCGGGCTCTCTGCTCAGTGGGGACCCTGCTTCCTCCTCTCTCTCTGCCTGCCTCTCTGCCTACTTGTGATCTCTCTCTCTCTCTCTCTGTCAAATAAATTAATTAAAAAAAAAAAAAAAAAAAGCTTTATGAACACTTCAGGTTAGTTTCTACAGACCCCAGCTACGTTAAAGACAGAAAGACAGTAAAGAGGGACTTTGAGGCTATAGTGAAAATTGTATTGTGTCTCATTGCCATTTTATTATCCAAGTAGTAATTGGACTATTTTCCAATTAGATTTGACTTAAAATTTAAAAATTACTAAATATTTGGACATATGCATATGACTTAAAATATGGCTTAAAATGCATCAACATAGTTGTTGCCCTTGTATTTGTGTTTTCACCCAGCAACATACCTTTAGAACTGAGTTTGATCGCCATAGGTGATCTGCCTGCCCCAAAGCTAAAAAATTGTATCCTGCGGCTATTTTTGTTTTACTACCTGTATGTTTCACCATAACATTGTTCTACAGTATATGTTTTATCATACCATTCTGGGGGTAGGGCGGGGGACACAACCGAAATGTCTTTAAAAAAGAAAAAAATAGGTCTTGAAAAATTCCAGACTTAACAAGCACCTCTGCAAATAATTCTCTGTAATGATGACATTTTTCCTTCAGAAAGTTGATTTCTTCCATATATAAAACAAATAAAAGATCGAAAAAATATCCCTTTAATGTAGAAGTCTGTCCAGGTTTATGTCCTAAGCAGAGTGAAACTCTCTTGAGCTCTAATTCCAGGCATTTGGGAAGAAACACCTCCTTCTCCCTAATTTCCTGTTTTCTCTTTTCATTGTTTATTTGGCTCCCAAAGCAGTAGTGTTTGCGGTTCTGCTGACATTGTGGATCTTTAAAAAAAAAAAGAAGAAGAAGAAGCAGAAGAAGAAGAAGAAGAAGAAGAAGAAGAAGAAGAAGAAGAAGGGACATGGGACCCAAATGATGTCAAAGAATTGAGAAGCTTAATATTATAAAGGAGAGTCAAGAGGAAAGAGGCATATTAAATGCAATAAACAAAACATTCACATAACCATACTACGACACTTGCCACAAGGGACAGAAGAAATAACTGTAGCATGAATCTCCACATTTTTTTAAAAACAAGTTTTTATTCCTGCAGAAATGTAATAAAGAAAGGGTAAAGCCCTGACCCAGTCATTTTTCTGCAAAGGAGACTTATATGGGTCTTTTCTATGGCAATTTTATGGATCTCTCAAGCCATCACACCTTGTTTATTTACTTTTTTATTATGAAAGAAATTCATTCTTATTTCAAAGAGTACTCCCAAGTATAAAGAAAACACATAAATCATGCATAATTCCATTTCCCAGAGAAAAGTGCTTTTAATATTTGGTACATATCCTTACAGATTTTTCTTCTATAAATAAATATCCTATAATTGTAAATTTTCAAAGAGAAGCATGCAGTTTTTATCCACAAGGCTTTTGTTCTGACTTTCTTGCCTTGTGAATTCTACCCCCTCATTCTCTGGCATCTCCAGTTTCACTTTCTTCACTAGTTGCCTCATGAACTATAAAAGTATTCAGGACCTTCACACAAGCAAGTGGGGTGGGGGTGGAGGAGGACTACAGTTTTCCCAGTATTCTTCCCCTCTATTTTTCCTCATTCCACTCTCTCTTCCCTCCCACCCTTTTTTTAAACTGTGGGAGAACACTTAACAGGAAATCTGCCATCTTAATACATTTTTCCCTCTTTGTCTTTTCAGTCAAGCTTTTGTAAGGGAAAAGAAGTCCTTTCTTAGTATCTTTACTCCCTTAGTACCAGGGTAGTCAATAAATTACTCTAATTTTGGTTCCAGGAATTCTCTTCCTAAGGTCCTTGATGGCTGCCAGCATGCCCAACACAATGGAAGTTTGCAGGGTACCTTCTTACTTAACCTTTCATCAGCATTTGACACTGTTGAGGGCTCTTTTTTCTTTGATTGCGTCCTCCTGGTTCTCCTCTTACACATAAAACCACCCCTATTCAGCCTCCTTCACTGGGTTCTTTTCTTTGGCCATTTTTTCTTTCTTTTTTTAAAGATTTTATTTATTTGACACAGAGAGAGAGAGATCACAAGTAGGCAGAGAGGCAGGCAGAGAGAGAGAGAGGGGAAGAAGCAGACTCCCCGCGGAGCAAACTCGGGGCTCGATCCCAGGACCCTGGGATCATGACCTGAGCCGAAGGCAGAGGCTTTAACCCACTGAGCCACCCAGGTGCCCCATGGCCCATTCTTTAAAAGTAACAATTCTCCAGGACGCTGGACTTAGTCTTTATCTCTTTTGTTTTCTTTTTTAATGAGCTCACCTGCTCCTGCAATTTTAGTTATCCCTGGAAATCTTTATGCCCTGCCCTTACCTCTCTTCTGAGATTTAGACCCTTATATCCAAAAGACCAACTGGATCTTTCCACTCGGATGAACGTTCCAAAAACATCACAAACTCAGCACATATCTTTTCAGCACATTATCTCTTCTCCCAATCCTCCTCCTTCTCATCGAGACCCTATTCAGTTGGTGGCAACACCATTTAATAGCTGTAATAGTGTAAATAACAGCAGAGAGGCTTTTTAAAATAATGCAAACTTGACCACGGAAAGATGCGATATTTACATTCATCTTGACACCTGTGGTCAATCACAAATTGCTCTGGGGGCTAATTCATGCTATTACCTCTAAAACTGGACTGCTAGAGAATCTGATAATTAGAAGTCCATTGGCGACTGTGAATACAATTACAGGAAATTGCAAACTGATTGTATTTGCCTTAAAGGTGAAGAGAAAGGAAGGAGCCTGCTAGGGAGCATAGACCACTCTTTCAAGTTTGACAGTGAAGAGATAAGAGAAATTAAATGTCTTTAGGGGATTGTCTTTAGGGGAAAGGAGATGTGAGGAAGTCATCTTTTAGAAGAAGGCAAACTGAGTAGTTTTGCAGGCTGTGGGAAGGAGGTGGTGGAGAAGAAGGAATGGACAACAGGGAAGATAAGAAGATAGGAATTGAACACTGACAAGCACAGAAAGAGTAGGGAAGTCTTTGTTTCTTTTGTCTTATTATATATTCTTCATGTAACATTTGTTTTTACTAAATTCAGGTCTACTATTCATCATTACATAAATAATAGTACAAATATTTTTTAATATTTCTATGTAATTTTTAAAATTTAAATTCCAGTTAGTTAACATACAGCGTAATAATATTAGTTTCAGGTGTACAATTTAGTGATTCAGCACTTCCATACAACAGCTGGTGCTCATCACACGTGCACTCTTTAATCCCCACCACCTATTAACCCGTCCCCTATCCCCTTCCCCTCTGGTAACCGTCTCTATAGTTAAGAGTCTGTTTCTTGGTTTGCCTCTCTCACTTTTTCTTCCCCATGCTCATTTTTTTTTTAATTCCACATATGAGTGAAATTGTATGGTATGTGTCTTTCTCTGACTTATTTTGCTTGGCAAAATACTCTCTAGCTCCATCCACATCATTGCAAATGGTAAGATTTCATTCATATATATATATATACATATATATATATATTCACATACATATATACCACATCTTCTGTATCCATTCATCAGTTGATGGACATTTGGGCTCTTTCTGTAATTTAGCTATTGTTGATAATGCTGCTTTAAACATCAGGGTGTATATATCCCTTCAAATCAGTGTTTTTGTATCCTTTGGGTAAATACCTAGCATTGCAATTGCTAGATCATAGGGGAATTCTATTTTAAACTTCTTGGGGAATCTCCATAATATTTTCCACAGTGGCTGGCACCGGTTTGCATTTTTATACATAATCTTTCACCTTTGTATTTATTTACGTTATTGTTCTGTAGTTAGGCACAATTGCAACTGAGGCTAATTTGTGCAATTAACTAAATGTGTTTCTTTTCCTTTTGAAAATTTCTTTCATATATTCCATTCTTAGTAAGAATGAAGAATCATTTTAATTTGATCTATATACAACTGGTGTCTTTTAGTTCAAACTCTTACTTTTTAATAAACTCCTATTCTAAAATGAACATAGGGAGTTTCATTTTTCAGGTCCTTATCTCATTAGATTTTGTTGTTTTGTTTTGTTTTGTTGTTACTTACTTGCAAAATTTTCTTATATAATACATTCCAAATCTGTGACCAGGTATCGTTTTCCTATACAGTTTCTAAGTTTTATGGTTTATTTAATTCAAATGAGTAAACCCACCTTTCTGTTCTACTTTTGTGGAGGAGAGAATGAAGGAGTGAGAAGCAGGAGGTAAATAGGGTTAATGAAAGATAGTGGAACGTCTGCAGAGAGGAAAGGTTACCAGTTAGTCAATATTCTTGAGAAACCTCTAGATCTGATTCAATGGTATTTAAAAAAAAAAAAGTTATCAGCACTAACAAAGAACTAAATAGATGTCCTTGCAGTTACTCAGAAGGGATTCAGACTGGTGTGGGGAAGATGGGAGATATTGCATTTGGGGTTTGACATTGGACGCTTCTCCTGAGCTGAAAGCTTCTCTTAAGGAGTGAGGTCTTCCCTTTCCTCGCTTCTCCCACCTCAAAGTCCTCACCATTTTAGCTACACTGCACCGATGCTCTCTTCTCAGCTGCACGTAGGTGAGCAGTGCACAGAACCGACTATCAGCAGGCAGTGTGCTAAGGCTGAGGTGGAGAGGGCCTGACCTTGCTGCCTCAGTTGAAATCCTCAGCTCCACTGCCTGCCAGGGGAGGTGGGAGGGGCACAGGAAGTGACTACCCTCTGGCTTCTCCTCCCACAGAAGCCCTGCCTCCTTCACGCTTGGACAGTGGAGAGGTTAGCTTGCTTTCTCCTTCTAGTTCTGTCCTTTGGCTAATGGGAAAGACCACGCAGAAGCTATGGAGTTGCTTTTTGTGCTTGACAAAAGTGCATAGATAGAAGACAGGGATTCCTGGCTGGGAGGAGGGAGGAGAGCTGAAGATCTCTGCCTGGGCTGGCGGATCTAAGCAGTCAAAGTGGGAAGCTGTGTGCTTGAAAGAGGATTATGCTCGCACTAGAAATAAGCAGTAAGTGAGCGAATAACCATTATGGCTTAGAGAAGGATTAATCCCCCTGGGGTTGTGGGGTGAACTAGAAAATATTGCTTAACTCTAGAGTAAAACTGTAAGTCTTCTGACTCTGTGTAGAGTTATGTGCTGTTTGGAGACTGGGGCTTAAATACAAAATCAGAGCTCTAAACGCCTCCTCCCACTCTTGGAAAATGCCAACTTCTTCATAGAGTAGTTGTGGATATAATCTCCTTCCCTGACCTAGCCTCTTCCCAGGAAAATACACTCCTAAATCAGCTAAGGAGTTGGGATTAAATTGGAAAGGTGGAATTTGGTAGTGATAGAATTGCAGTCTTGAATTGTGTTCAGTGAACGCCGACATTGTTATACCAGTTAGCAGTGAATTGTACATCACTTAGAAATCCTGGGGTGGGGCATTAAAAAGGGAAAATTGAGAGCTTTTATGAGAAAGAGGCTGAAGTGTCCATATGCGAAGGATGAAATATAAAAATGTATGTAATTAATAATAGATGGAGTGTTTTCAAAAGCATTAACCTAGACCAGCCTTCAGGGAACCTAGAAGTATGAGGATGAAAATTAGTTAGAAAGGAAGAAATCTTACTTTCAGTGTTTTTTTCTGCTAGCCAAAAATTTCACAATGTTTACAAAGTCAAGACAATGATTCAGGGATACTTCAGTTATTGCCATACATTATAAATACTGTTGCGGGACAAGATCTGTGGTTCCTTGGTCAGCAAGTTCTGGCAATGAAACCACTGCCGCTGGTGCAAAGAATTCTGGGATGTCTGACAGTGAAATGGATGGAAGGACCCACATTCCATCTCTGCTTAATGTCCTTTTGTCCAGAAATCGGGTCATGCAAATGAGCTACTTGGTACGTATACAGATCAATATTTGGAAAGGCATTTCTGAATGTTTTGCATTAGAGGGTCTCTGGACAATATCTTATGGCAACCAGTAGACTAAGAGGATACAAAAACAAAGTGATAGGAAGGAAGTCAGCTTGATTGAAACCAATCCTGTTCTTTTTGTTTTCCATCAATCCTGAAATGGAACCTCAAATGAGGAGAAGAAGAAGAATAGAAATACTGTGGCCATCTGTTCTGTTCTAAGTGGCCAAATTCATTAATATATGAATGAGAATTCGATTTTATTTATGAATCCGAATACTTGAAGATTCAGAATTCTCTTTATTACAGAAAAAAAATCAACACAAAAATAGGAGGTATATTTATTGGGGAGGAAGGGGAAAAACAGATAAGAATTATGTCCCACAGGGTAAAGAAGATTGATATCATGTTCACTGGAGGATACAGTTTTTCCCTCAATGAGATGGGGATCCTAATAAGGCATAATAGATGCAAACAAATACTTCTTAGTTCCCTTAATTCTCCTCGACGTATTTAATACCTAAAGCAAGGATTGTTTTTTGTTTTTGTTTTAATAATAACCTTGGATTACAGCTAACTATGTAGTGAATTTTATTTTCCTTTTCTTACTGGTCCTCTACAGAGGTGCTATGATTTCTGAAATTATGAAGAAGGAATCTGCCATTTCTGGTATTCCTATCAGCCAGCGCATTAGGAGAAAGAAAAAAAAAAAAAAACAACTCAGACGTATTATCTTTCTCCTGTAGCACAATGGTGAAATGGTTAAAATGATCTATGACCTTTCCTAACTTTACAGTTTTTGCTATGGGGAAAGTAGCTGAGGTCTGGTCATGGGGACGGGAAAAAAAAGACAAAATGCAATAAAGTGCACTTTTTTAAAAATGGTCTGTATTCTTCCAATTTTTCAAACTACCTAATTTTGAAAATTATTTTACTCATCTTTTAAAAATTATTTGAATTAGTTTTTCCAGTATTAGTTTTCATCATTTATAAGCAAATGTAGAAAATCTGAAGATTCATTATCTGAGTTGCATAATGCTTGTCTTATTCTTTAAAATATAAAAGGGATTAAAATAAACATTTACTAGTTGAAATCTTAAGCATACTATAACTACTAAGTGCAGTTTCAGTCTTTAAGAAAAATGGGCTGGGACTCCTAAGGGAATTGTTTATCTCTCTCAAAGTATTAAAGAATCTGTTTTGAAACTACAGAATTGAAAAAAAAAGCATAATATTCAGAACAACATTAAAGGTATAATTTGGATGGGAGGGGCTAAGCAGAAATACTTGATGAGTTAATTATAAGCCCGCAATTTAACAACAAAACATTTGCTGTTGTCCGTGAGAGACTGACATAAAGAATGATATATTATGACTAGTAAATAAGGTTAAGTAAAGACTTTTATCTTGAAAAAGAATTAAGTGGGAGTTAACCTTATTAATGGAGAGAAACTAAATGATCATTTAAAATTATTCTTTCACAAGAAAAGTAAAGAAAAAGGATATGGAAAACTAAGCAGTGATGAAGACCTCGAAATAATTGTTGATCAAAAGCAGGTAAGTGAATGCTTACATACATTTTCTGCTGTTGCACTGTAGATCTTTGACAGCCAAAGCCCTTTGAGTGTTCAGCCCTGCACTTGTGGCTGTGTTAGCCTGTCTGGCAGAGGCATACATAACAAGATCGATTTTGAGAGCAGCTAAGCCTCCCCAAATGATCCCTCTGATCCACTGACTTCTGCATGCTGTCAACACGCATGTTCTGTATATAAGAACGATGAAAATTAAGCAGAACTAGATAACAGAACTTTTGGAAAATTACATTCCCCAGTGGAAAATGAATCAATACAATGATAATTTGTTTAGAAAAAAATTTAAACAAGAATCAGAACATACGTTATTTTGAAAATGAGAAAGCTAATGTAAGTGTAAAACAATGAGTATGCTTTAAGGGGAGGGGGGTAAAAGACTAAAAAAAAAACTGGGAAGCTGGAAACATATGTATTGCCCAATTTATCAGAATATCGGCAATAAATTTAGAGATTATTTACAAAATATAAAAAGAAAAAGCTACTTAATGTTCTTTAATACTGCCTGTAATTTGAAAAACAGCTAGCTTGGACTTTATATGGGTCCATAAGGTGAAATGAAAACTGCTTAATAGACCATAAACAATGATATCAGGTAATGGAAAGTATCCAACTAATGCCACTGAACTGGCATTGGCCCTTAACGTCTTTGTTAATTATCAAGGAGGCAACTGCACATCTATTTAATGTGTACCCGAGTCTGCGGGTGATGTAAGCTCAGGTGGAGACTGAGAAATAATTCAAAGGAGTCTGTGTAGATGAAGAGGTTAGAAAGAAAGCAATCAGCAAGTTAAAGAAAAGCAAGTGGAATTTAGACAATCTCGTAATCGTTTGTTTTGCATCATGACAATTGCATTAAAGGAGCCATTGTGTATATTTCTGAAAAAAAAAAAAGAAAAATAACCATCGGAAGGGAGCGATCAGAAGAAGTTGAGTTGGAGACTTGCTTCTCAGGTCTGAAATACTGAGGTAACTGAAGTGGTCTTCTGGGGGAAACTCACCAAACAAAGCATCTCCCCAGAGGTACAAAACAGGTTGATCTTACAGTATCCACTCAAATTGTCTTTGAATTCTTTTTTCTTGCCTTATCTTCACTCGCCTGCTCCTGAGTGAATTGGGGGGCAGGGGGCAGAGGTTGGCGAGGAATTTGGCCCTGTATTTCTACTTAGTGCCAGTTGTTCAGTTTAGTTAATAAGATCAGAGGAGCTGGAGCTGGAGCGCTCTGCTGGGCTTTTAGCTATCATTTTAACTATGCCAGATTAATTACTTAGAGCACAAGATCCTATCTCTAGACTGGCATTCTCACTGAAGGACGGGAGATACCCAGTGAATGAACTAGTAAAATACAATTGAGTATATTATGAGAACACACATACCTATCCATTTTTCTATTAAAATGAAAAGCAAGTTATTTTTTTATTTCTTCCTTAATCATGTAGAAGTTAAACATTTACTCTTTTTTGTACTTTCTTAGTATCATCCTACCCTTAACGATTGCTTGGGTTTTTTTTGTTTTGTTTTTGTTTTTTCTAAAGCTTTTCTGTTAGTTTTAACTAAATTTGGGGTTACAGAATACCATAAAAGTATACACTGAGATCTTTGGAGTGGAAAGCCCAAGGGAGTCAGTGTTCTATTTTCTCACGGTAGCTTTCACAACATTTATGTTGTTGTCCCCAAACACATTTTATTAACTGTTAAGAGAACCAACTTTCCTTCTGTTGCAGAAAATAATGCTTTTCTTACCTGGATCAAAGGTGGGAGGATTTGACTTGCCCAGTCATCGTTTGCCTCTGTAGTTAATCATGTTTCCCCCAGTGCCACGGCACCAGTTGGCACCAGTCGGCACCAGTTGGCTGTGACCCAGCTTTGCTGAGTCATTCATGTCAAAACACGTTTTAAAAGACGAGTCATTATGAATATGAGTTGGCTTTCATGTTTGCTGTTGGCAGTAAGACTAGTCCTTCTTTTGGGGGAAGCTTTACTTGCTGGTGATGTTGTGAGCAAATCCTAGGTTGAAACAATGACAGTGTTGATACCTCATAGTAAAATATTTAGGATAACACTCTAACTAGTCTTGATATTACTACAAAAAATCCTTTCTATGCTTCAGAGAGCGTCATTAAAAGTGTGTATGTGTTTATGTGTGTAAAACCCATTCATTTACTATTGCCTTGTTTCATAGATATTATATATTTGGGGAGGAATCTTTATGTTCGATTTATTCTTTCCGTATCTTTTTAGAAACATGGTAGATGTTTGTTAGTCAATCTTCATATAATTGCAAATAGCTTTTTCAGCAAGTGCTGCTAAAAGAAAATCTAAAGAAGATAGATAAAATAGTTGGAGTGCTGTGCTGGGCAGAAGTCTACTAATCTCATTAAATCGGTCGTCCAGAAGCTGTTGCACTACAATGTTGTGCAAGCTATATGCCGTTTTATCCGTCACGTGATTTGCAAGACATGTATTTCCACAGAAAGTTCAGAATTTTGCTGATGTAAGCAAATTAATATCAGAAGCAGCACAGAGTGTGTGGATTTTGTTCTCCCTGCTGCTCCATTCAGTGGGGTAAAAGGTGATTTCTATGTTATTTCTACATGAGAAAAAGTGATTTTGGAAATGTGTAAGGTTTTATCTTAAAAGGCAATACTGTGCTTCTCTCTTTGTCAAATGTTATTGGCAAAATTTATTTGCAATTTGTATGAAGATATTCTAGAGAATTCATAGATTCATGCTAACGTCCAAAAATTACTGGTGTCATGTATAATAACACATACACACACACATAGAGTAATTTAAATGTAGGCGTATGACATTGGCATTGGAATCCATATTTTCCACCAGAAATCCCTAGAGTTTTCAAACTTCAAGCATAAGAAAGCTATCAAAGGAAACATTAGATTAAAATTTTAATGCCTCTAAGCCCCATTTTACATAAATATATATATTTCATTATTTATATGTTATATAATTATACAATTATTATATATAATTAAAACAAATATATATAATTAATAAATTATGTGTTAGGCTTTCCAGAATAAATATTAAAAGAGAAATTTTAAGTATATTTCAGATCATTTTTATTATTCATTAAAATGTTCTTTCCTGATTGGAGGGCATGGATCTTGTTTAGGAATAGATTTCATGTACAAATTCATTTCCTTTTGAAGCTTACTGAGATTTTAGGGATGGGAATGGGCAAGTAAATGGTCAAGGGCCTTGAGCAAGGCTTTAAAAATATTTTCTACTTAAAATAATAAATTCATTCTATTTTAAAGTACTATTTTTAATTAGAATAGAGTCAACTTGGTTCAAGGTTTATGATACACTGGACCAAGATGACCTTTCTTCTAAAATGTTTTCAAGTTCCAAGTTAACTTCAAGGATGTATGTAACAAAGGGTAATGCAAAGTTATGGACTATCATAATTATATGAATGATATGCTCACAGGTTCAAACATTTCAAAAGTGGTTTTCAGAGTATGTCATGAATCCAGTTGGTTATAGGACTCAGTGTTGCAGCTGCATATCCTTCGGTGCATTAAGGTGGGGGAGTGTCAAATGTCAGCCAATTACAAGGGGAACAAGTGTACAGAGATCAGAGCATTGGTTCTCAAATTCTAGCAGCCTCAGAATCCCCTGGAGGGCTTGTTAGAACATGGGCTTTGGGGCAGGAAGGGGGCCACCCCCAGAATTTCTGATTCTGTAGGTCAAGGGTAGGGCACAAGAATTTGCATTTCTAAGTCCTTAGCTCCCACTGCTGGTCCCAGACCATACTTTGAGAACCACTGGGTCAAAGGAAAAAATTATTATAGTTCTGAAGGGAAAAAAATATACATGACTTGTGATAAATTCTATATTCTTCAACTAAGCACTACCTGGAAATCTAAAAACTAGAATTCATAGATGTACAACAAAATGATACTGAAAACAAGAAAACCATAGCCATTTATACCCAGAGGTGCCTTTTAAGACCCAGATTTGTAGTTTAACTAAATTCTACCCCACACCTTGTGATCTTGAATTGGTCTGAGGTGTTTCTTTTTGTAAAATAATATTCTGCTCCTACCATTTCCCAGAGTTTCTCTGAGAAGATAAAATCTGTAAAAGTGCTTTATAAACTGTAAATCATTATGCCATTTTTTAATTAGCAAGTCGTAACAACTGTATTAGTCTGTTTTACCCACCATATGAACTATCATAGCCTGGATGGCTTAAACAACAGACATTTCTCGTAGTTCTGGAGGCTGGGAAGTCCAAGATCAAGGTGCTGGTATGGCCAGTTTCTGAAGAAAGATCTCTTCTGGATTTATAGATAGCCATCTTCTCACTGTGTTCTCATATGGCAAGGAGAAAGAGCTCTGGCGTCTCTTCCTCTTATCGGGGCTCTACCCTTACTGATTCACTTAACCTTTACCGTCTTCTTACAGGCCCTATCTCCAAATACAGTCACAGTGGGGGTGGAGGCTTCAATATATGAATTTGTGGGGAAGGGAGACAAACATTCAGTCCCTACTACCCCACAACCCCAATTTAGCAAAGAGCAATATTGATATCTAGAAAGGTGAATCGAGTTGCCCTGAGTCCTGGTTAGGTACAGAAAGAACCCTGGAAGCCTACCTTCCCTCCTGATGTTCAGTCCAATGCTCTTTCTATAACTACACATAGTTCCCACGGTTGCACATTACTGGTCATCCCATAGATGAGTCTTAAGCAGTTTTGCTCCGGTGTTCTAAGTATATAAAATAACTATATACTGGAAATATCATCATTGACTGATATTTATTTATTAAATCTCCACAGGGATAACCTTTTCCATAAACACTCCTTAACTATTTACTTCCCTCTTGGCCCCATGGCTCCGATAGAAGAGAAATGTCTTCAAAGTAAATGTATACAGAATTAGAGCTAAAAGGTTGTTAACATCCAGTCCCTCTTCCCTTCCCTACAAAGCTTCCTCAGGGAGGA